TTACTAAACATGTTTCAAACAGACTTTCTTGTGATATTGGCTATTTTGTGAAACATTTTTTACATTCATAAAATTCATAAAAAGACATTAGAACGAATGGGATTAGATTTATGCATCATATAATCACAAACACACAAGACAAAATTTCTATTTTAAAATACCTGTAATCCATACATAATTAATATTAATATAGAAATTCAAGTAAACGAGAATTTTGACATAATTTTGACAGATGAAAGACAAAGATTTGTGCGTGTGATGATGATGTAATGTAAGAATGTTGATTTCAGCCAACTATATTTCATTTTCTATTTTGGATAATAGCAACAGTTATTTTATTATTATCATCCACCCATCATTCATCATTATTAGTCAAGATACATATTGATGAAAGTTCTGGGTTGTAACTGAGTCGTTATTTGAGTGAGTTATTGTCAAATAATGACCTAATGGCTGGTAATTATTAATTAACTAATTAAATTAATTAATGACGGTAATAAATAGTACATGTAATTCGGAGAGAGATGCGTATAAATAATCACCGACTATTCACTATTGTAAATATATATATATACATCACACTACATACACTTACAGTAGTGTATGTATATATATATATATATAGTAAATATAGTGTATATTATATATATAGTAAATACAGTGTACATATATTATATATATAGTAAATATAGTGTATATTATATATATATATATATTATGTATATGTTATCATCTTGATATTTTACTCTCTCGAAGAAAATATTTTCCCAAATGTGTGTGTGATTGATTAATTAATTAACAATTAATGGTCAACTAATATTATTGTGTGTGTTCATAAAGAAACAACAATAATAAAGAAGATTTCGATTTTTTCTCTCAAAAAAATTTTTCAAATTTAAACATGTGATGATTTTAAAGTTAATATTATGAATATTATGAGATGAATTGTGATGTAATATTACATACCAAATACATGTAATATTGTTACCACGTGTTACTAATAAATTCAATTATTAAATTTTCTATTATTAAACCTCAAATTTAATCGTAATATTTTTTAATTGAAGTCTTTATGTAGTGGGCGACTCTGTATATATTGCATTATTATTCGCCATAAATGATAATAAATAAACAATAAAAATAAATAATAAAAAAAAACTAAAATAAAATCATAATTCATCATAACAAACATTATTTTATTATTGACCAATAATAAGCTTTTAAGCTTTTAATTAATCGTAAGCGTGATTTTAAATGCTTAACTTTTTTAATTTAAATAATTTAAATCACGTTTTCTATACCAGAAAATTGACTAGATTTATTTATTTATTTATTTATTATTTATTCTATTCATTATTATTACTATATTTATATTTACAATAACATCTGTTGTTGTTATTTTAAGGTTAAAGCTAATTTTCTGACTCAGATTAGATTCACGAATCAGACTATTTGAATTTAACAAAAACCGTTTCAAGATTTTGATTTTTCCATCATCATCATAAATCAATAAGATTGTTTATAATATAACTAATAATCCAAATTTGTTAAATAACAACAAATTCACAAAATGTTTATTTATATTTATTGTAAAAATCGCTTATAATAATAATGCGTGTGTATGAGAAAAAAGTTATAATAATAATTATTATTATGATTATTATTATTATTATTATTATTTATTATCATCATATTACTCATATATTATTATATTATTATATTATTTATGATAAGTTTTTTGTGTGTGTGTGTGGGAATAATTTAATTTATGTTTGATGTTTCATCGTCATCATCATCTTAATGATTCTTGGCTTGTTTTCTCTACTTAATTTTTCCCTTTCCGTAATTTTAACCAATCAGACTCGACGGGTTTGGTATTGTTGCTTTATTTATTTGTGTGTGAGAGGAAAAGTGATAGACCCTGCATTAATCCAATATGAGCCACACAAAATCATATTCTATTTAATAATAAATAAATCATTTATATGGAATTATGGCTTGATAAAATCATAAAAATTGCACAATTTCTCTATTTTATTATTGAATGAAATGGATGGATGAGAAAAAAAAACTCGCAAATCATTCGCACTTTGTTCTTTTTGTTTTTTTTTTTGGATATTTTCACCCTCTCGCCTGATTCACTCGCCACCAATTAATTCATTCATATTAAACCAGAAATCATATAATACATTTATATTATGTGTTTTTGTACTCCTCTCGTTTATTCAAATTCCTTATTTTTTTTTTGTAATACATGTGTGTGTAATAATAAGAGAGAATATTTAATTGGTTTATTTTAATTGGATTATTACATATAATAATAGTGATGATGATGATAATGATGATAATAATAATAATAATAATAATAATAAATAAATAATAATCACCTTTAAAACTTTGAAGAAACCATGCAACTTTAAAATAAAATTTTTAACCTCTAGGATTTTTTCCCATTTAATCTAGATATATCATCATCATCGTCACAATGCTATTTGCACTATCATCTTCATGCTATTGTTTAATCCACCTCTTGTAAACAAACAATGTATCTTTCTTTTTTTTTAAAGTCTGAAAGAAATCTCGTTTAATCTTAAGTTTTCAATGAAACCAATTAGCTTTATATGTGTTCTGTTGTTTGTTTTTTATTTCCTTTCATACCCCGCAAAAACCTTAATAAACGATCGTTACATATCTCCATATTTTCTATTTGTTGTTAAAAAAAAATATTTTTTATCATCCATATATATATTATATTCGCTTATACACATCATCATAATTACATAATTGTGCAGATGTTACATCATTTAATTATAAAAATAGATGATATTGTAGTTTTAACCAATCAATCCCAATTTCATTCGTTCAATTAATCAATCAATCAATCAATCAATCAATTATAAACGGATAATATATATATATATATATATATCGAGTTGAATTTTATTATTAACTGTTGACTATTATGTAACTCAATTACAATCTAATTCTTTCGGACCCTTAAAGCAGCACAATGATAATCATTGACGAGATATTATATCTTGTATCGTAAACATACTGTGTATATATAACACAAGTAAATAAATATTATTTGTAAAAAAATGCGGGGCGCAAGTGCCAATTAATCAACAACTGATTTAGATGGATGATGTCGTGCGAGTGAACATTAGTATTAACGAGAGTCAAAGACAATTACAAGTAAATAATAATAAATACACACACACATATAAATGGTTATGGTAAAAGAGAATGAAGAAAAAAAAATATACACAAAAAACGACTGTTTCATTATGTAATATGGGATGCATGTAAAAAAAATGTTTAAGGGATTAATTACTTGATTAAGTTCAAGTTTTTTTATAACCAAATTTTTGGTAATGGCAATATTTGTGCGTGTAAATAATAAAACCACTATTACCATTATAAACAATCACGTATATCGTCGTTGTTGTCAGTTATTTATCATTATAACGACATTGACCGATGATAACCTTTTTTTATTGGTTAATCTTCGTTATTTATTATTATTACAATGGCAATGATGACAATAATGGTAAAAAATAATTAGTTCATTTAATTGTTTCTTCTTTAATATTTCTCCCTCCGACCACTTAAAAATTTTCTTTCAATCAATTAATGCCACCATTCATATATCCAGTCACCCGATGCATTCTCTAATTATTCTCATCCTTTAAGCAGCAGCAGTTAATTAATTCAATTCAAGGAATTATTTTCACGCTAAAGGAATATGTTATCATAATACGGAAATAATAAATAATAATAAATAATAATAAAATACCAATTAAATTCCATCATTTTTAATATAGGAAAATTAAAATTTTTTTTTCCATAAAAGAAAAAAATATTAATTTATTTAATTAATTTTTAAATTACGCCAAAAAGATAAATAAAAAAAAAATCAAGACAATGAAATATAATATACAAATTGTGGAGAAAAAATAGATTAATTTTTTCTCCTATAAGAAAAAAGGAAAAGGAAAAGAAAAAGAATAAATTTAATAATAAAAATAATAATAATAATAATAATAAATAATAATAACAAACAAACAAACACAGAAAAAACGTAAAGAAAACTCACGCAATAAAGAGTATAGTATAGGTATATGGATATTTACTATTAATACATGTGTTTATGTTTATCAATCATATTAAATAAATTATAATAATAATAGTAATAATTCCAGGCCGAAAAAGAAGAAATTCAAAATAGTAACCAAAAATTGGTGGTAAAATAAATTTCAAGTTTTATTAACATTTTCCTAGTCGAATTAATCGTATGATATGATCTTAACCAAATTAATAAATCGTATGATGATTAAAAAAAAAATTATTTTTCTTTTTTTTTTTTTTTTTAATAATAAAAAAAATTCCCAAAAGAGATTATTATTATGTGCGACTTTTTTTCTTATTAATAATATTATTATTTTGTGTTAAAAAAATTTTTTTTTTGTTACTTATTTTAAAACATTCTAATAATCATTTATATTATAAACAAAAAAGTAAATTATAAATAAATAAAATATAAATATACATAAATAAAATTTTTTTTTTTATTTCATTTAAAAATAAATTATTTTTTTTTTTTTAAAATATATGATATAAATAAATAAATTTTTTTTTTATTTTTAAAATAAAAAAAATAAATAAATTTATATAAATATAAGCCTGAAGTTTCGTTAATTAACCAAAAGAAAAAAAAAACAATATTTCTTTAATAAAAAAAAAATAAAAATAATAAAAATTTTTATTAAAATTTTTTCGAAAAAAATTATTCAAGACAATAATTTTTTATCACTACCAATCTTTATTATATATTATTCATTATATAATATATTTTCAACGTTATATATAATAATTATTATTTATAATAATTATTTATTTTCTCTCTCATCATCTTCACGCAAAACACAAATTTCAACCTTTTCTTATAAATATTTTCAATTATCTCTCTCATACAATCCTCTCTTCCACGCAAAAAACTAATGGAAAACAATAGAAACAATATCACGAAATTACTCAATTTCCTTAATCCAAATAAGAAAAGTTCTTCAGTGTCCCCTCAACAATCTTATAATCTTGATTATGAATGGAGTGCAGCAATCTCTGCTCTAGATTTGTCAGATTCTCCTAAATATAGAATTGGCGAACCAATCACCACTTTCAAATCCTCATCATCATCTTCAGCATCCTCTCTTTCCTCTTCACCAACATCATCTTCTTCATCATCATCATTTTCCTATTCATATCCGCCTTCTCCCAATGCTAATAATAATCAATTTGGGCATAGATCATCACAAAATATGCCTACTTCAACTACAACAACAACAAAAACCAATGAGTCAAGTATCATCAGATCGGCTTCAATGCAAAGACGTTCCTCGGTCTCTAATTGTCATGAAAGTAGCAAGAAAAGACTTTTGAAGGCCAAGAAAGCTGAATACGAAGAGAAAATGCAGGCGTTTGATGAACTTATTAATAAGCGTCGGGGAAATAATTTGAGGAGCACACTTGCATATGACGTAGCAAGCTACTAAATAATAGAGTTATTGCATGCATCAACCACACCAACATCATTTATCATCATCCATTTGCATTTAATAGACAGTAATAATAATTGTGCTATCAATTTTTTTTTATTTCTTTCAAATTAGCTTTTTTTTTTTTTTTTATTACTTTCAAATTTTTTTTCTTTATTTTTTTCTTAATAATAATATTTTCATTTGAATAATTTCCTCAAAAAAACAATTAAGATTTTAAGACAAACAAACAAAAGAGATGAAGATTAAGAAATTATGATTAATTATATGAATATGATTTATGAATTTATTTTATTTTTTATTTTTTATTTTTTTTGAGGAAATTATATCAATAATCTCAACAACTATGCTATTATATATTATATTACACTTACTGCTACACTACTACTTCTACTACTAGTTTTATTAGTTCGTTTTGCTTTCGTTCTCGATTCTTTTTATGGTTGGTTAGAAGACACTTTTTTTGACACAATATAGAATAATAAAAAAAGATGTTGTATATAACTTTTTTTTTTACTTTTTTAATTTTAATTTTTACCTAATTTTATTTTCAATATTTTTTTTATAATATAATAAATATAATAAAAACTACATAATAATAAAAAATTTTTTATTTGAAACAAAGTAAAAAAAAAGTGTGATTGTCTTTTTTTTGTTGTTTAAAAAAAAAGAAGAAAGGGTCCTGTGCTCATTTACTACTTTTTTAATCCACCATCATTATTAAATTCATTAAAAACAATTAACTCTAAGATGATTATTTAAGCACACATATTTAGATGGTTGGTTACACCATAATTAATGTTCACTCCTAATCCATTAACTTAATTTTAATATTTAATTAACTTAAAAGTATTCAACTTTTTGGGTTTTTTTTAACTAGTTGATAAGTCAATATTTTTACAATTAAGGTGACTTTCAATTTTCTAAAGAGAAGCTCTAAATTAAACTTTCAATGATTTATAAACTATCCAACCAAACCAAACCATCCAACTTATTATTTTTGTTGTTATTCTCGGGCATGTATCAAATATACACACACATATATGTAATATGCATTTACTTATTTATCAACGATCAATTCTTGGTTAAACCAAACCTTGATAACAAAAAAGACTTTATTTAGTCTCATTAACTCTAAAGTCTAAATTCGTTTGGTCTTCGTTTGTTAAATATAGATAACCTAATGCGTGCGCGTGTGCGTGTGGAATGTTCTTTCCTTAATCAGGGGATTGATTTATTTTGCCAAATAAACGGCCGAACCCCGATTGATTGATTGATTAATTGATTAACACCAACTTTAATCTGCCAAGATAACTACCACGCATACATGTACACAGATTACAAATATCTTCTCCCCGTGCTATATGTGTATATATGTTACAATCATCAACTTTCAGTGATTATTAACACACACCAATCAATCAATCATCGTCCTAATTATTAATCAATCACATGACCTTTGGTTTGACAAGTTTGACAGATTGATATGGCTTACCCCGCAATTTCAATTGTCCATAAATGTAACAAGAACCAATTAATTTAATTTTTGGTTAATCTTTATTATGTTTCTCTCACCTTCAAACAAAAACACACAAACCATTTCTATTTTTAAATATTAATATTAATATTATTAATATTATTAATATTATTACTATTATTATTGCTATTATTAGTATTATTTTTTATCCGCGGGAATCCCTATTTATTATTTTTTCTTAAACATTTTAATATTAAAAAAAAAAAAAAAAAAAAAAAAAAAAAAAAACAAACCAATTCAATGCGTGAACGAACATACGGTCTTTTTTATTTTATAAAAACTCGTTTCGAAACTCTTTAAATGTTCCTAATGTAAAAATTCATCATAATAACAATAATCATAAACATCAATGTCATCATTATCATCATCGCCGTTGTTGTCATCTCTTTTCCCTATTAGTATTAGTATTGTGAAAGATTATTTTCTACGAGTCATCATCATTTTCTAAGATTAATGGTTTACTTTTTTTTTTTTTTCCCCCGCACTTATGTAATTTTTGTTTATAACACTGAATATAAACAAATAATATATATATGCGCACATTTGTTATCCATTCTTTGTTGGTAAAGATGGTTTTTTTTAGTAATAAGGGGATAAAAAGTACCAATTACTAAGGAAAGATGAATTTAAAGTTTTTGTAATTGAGCAAAATAACTAAAAGGATTTTCAGGGTTTAAGGAATTTTTGAAAAGATTTTCTTGGACCCTTTTTTATTATTTCATCCAATAAACAGCACATTCATTCAAATTCACGCTTAGTAAAAAATAATTAGTAATGGTCGTCATTATGACTAATCCTGTTTTATTCGGGTCACACACACACTTTTTAAACCAGGAAGTTAACAATTATAGCATTATCATTATGATAACTAATAAATGGATAAATTATTAACCAACTTATTCTTTGGAACCTCGTGGTTTTTTTTGGGAACGGAATGGAGAAAATAATTCGCCACCTCGGGTCGTGATTGGTACATATTTTTTTTTTTTTTATTTTTCAATGAATTATGTTTATATAATTGTGTGTGTAATGAATGGCTTTTGTTATCTCCTTCGGGCAGCACATAAACACACAAAACAAGCAAGGGTGGCAATTTAATTGTAAGTACAATGTAACGCAAACATACCAAAAACAAGATAAAGAGTCCAAAGTTATAAAAATTTTAACTCGGCGAAAAACAATTTATTATTTATTTTCACGAGAGTGGAATATCTCCGTGTGTGTGTGTGTGTGTGTTTTGTGTGTTTTGTGTAAATGGGTGATATGTGAATATGATCAAAATATTTTAATATTATTTATTTTGTTAATAGTTTTTTCTATTTTAATTTAAATGATAAATCTTTTTGAATCTATTTTGCTTTCTTTAATTTTTGTTTGTTTGTTTTTGTTATTATTTGCTAATGTAATTTTAGTTCTTTATTTAGATCATCAAAAACAAATCCCCAAATTTTTGTACATACATACATATTCAACTCATAATAAAGTTTCATTGACAATATTTTGGATTTTTATTATGCCATTGTTATGTTTAATAATACATTCCAACTTTAGAATATTAATTAAAAATCCTTCGAAAAGTAAAGAAATGATCGAAAATAAAAATAGAATTAGGGTTGGAATTTATCATGAAATCAGAAAAATCCAAGTATAATCGACGAATAATAATTGTGAACTCGTTTATATATTAATGTTAAAAACAGCTGTTTGGCTTAATGTTATTGTATGCACAGTACATAATATTTACAAATTCATTCATTAATATTAAAAAAAATAAAAACATAAGTTATCCGTCCTAGTCATTTACCCACTTACCATTTTGGTGAGAACAATTAAAACCTTACATTATTATGATGCGTGAGTCGTTATGAAGAAATCATCCAATCGAAGAAATAATAATAATAATAATAATAATAATAATAATAATAAAATCTTAATCCCCCCCTCCCCCTCCCCCCCTACATTTCAAGGTTGCTGCTGTTCTACCACTTTCGCTTCCCACAAATCACATTCTTCAAAGATTTACACTGCACATTGGTCATCTAATTTCATACACACACGTAATTATACTCATTCAATTTACCATCACAATAATTAAAAATAATGCTGATATTCAATAATGTATTATCTAATACACTCTATTTTCTTTCGAATTAATCCCCGATGACTAATGACTGACTGAAAATTGATAATATGATATATGAACTTTTCCAGCACACACACACACACACACACACACACACACACACACACACACACACACCTCCTCTATCTCAATCTTTAACACATGACTTTATAATTTACTATTTTAATCAATCATAATTAAAATTATATTCGAAAAAACTTTAAATCAATTTAAAATTTAATTAACCTCAGATTATATTTCAATGATTTGTTTAAATTGAGTTTAATTATTTGGAGAAATATAGATTACTATATTTGATCCCATATTATTATTATTATAATCGATTAATATCGACATTTTTTATGCGTAAACTCTATTAGTCCGATTATAAATTATTTTCTTTTCAATGAAACTTTAAAAATCGTTCATTGATTTCCATAACATTATTTAATATATCTAAAAACATTTATTATAGATTCTCGTTATGCATTCACATATTAATATATAGACATATCTTATCGATTGGCAGAATCTTAATATTAATGGATAAAATAGTTTTCCAAAAAAAGTTATTGTCTTATTATTATTATGTATGCACATCTCTTCTATATACGGTCAAGTTTAAACTGAAACTGAAACTGACGGATAATAAAAATTCATTTATTTGTTTTTTACTTGTTGAAATTTGATTGGTTTAATTATTAAAGAAGGAGAAGGAACGAGTGAAATAAGGAAAACAATGAATGATATTATATTTATAGAATACTTACTATGTATGATATTGTGGAACTGTTTCGAAAATCCATTGTTTGAAAACCGAGAGTTTTTTAATAATGTTGTTTGTTGTTGTTGTTCTTCTGCTGTTGCAAATTCGCGTGTATCATTTGTAATATTAAATACATGATTTTTCCTCTCTTAACTCAGAGTTGACTCTGATTTAATTTATTTATTTATTGTTGTTACTATTAGTGCTGCTTCTGCTGCTGCTGAAGATAATTATAATGTTTCCGCTGCTGCTGCTGCTGTTGTTGTTGTTGTGTTAATTATTATAGATATTTCCTAAATAACAACCAGCTGTTTCATTATCATTATTGCATTTTACATTCGGAATTGCGGAATATAGTAACAAATATATTATTATTATTATGCTTTCATTCATATTATTAAATAATATTAATTGCATAAAATGTAGCAAATATATTTTGTGGTCTTGTGAATGGATTACATGAAAAAGGGAATTTAAATAAATGTATAGCGTGGGCTTTATTATTTATAAAAAAACATTAATTACATGCATTTTTGAACACACAATTGCACACAAATTACCAAAATTGTAATTTTTGGAAGCAATTAATCAATCGAAACAATATTTTGATTTGTTGATGGTGTCGTTTTCTTTGTTCTGGATTGAACGTTAAATTTTATTTTTAGTTTTTCTTACTAATTGTCCATTGTTTTTGTAGGAATAAAAAAATTTATTTATCATCTACCAATAAATGACAATTTTGGAACATTCGGAAAATTCTTTGCAATAATTTTGCTGCACATAATTAATTAACATGTAATCTTTTTAATATATATATGCCATTGTTATTACCATTATTAATATTTATCTATCATCTTCTTTATGAGTTTTAATTATTTCCAAAAAAATATTCATTATCTTTAAAAAAAAATAAAATTTATTCAAAACAATCATTGTACTTTTTAAACACTAATAAGACACAACATGTTTTTTCTATTACACGTAATTTAAATTCTAATCCATTCCATTCATAGAATTGTCAAGCCTCTAAAAAGATGGCCGCCCTTTTTACAACTGTTTATTCTATCTTTCGAGACTTTACGGTATTTGGAGCTGAGTTTGTAGATCAATAAATAAATTTGCTCTAGAATATTATTAATGTTGAATCTTAAAAACAGTAATAATCACAATCATGATAATGATGATCTTTTTTATACAATGCTTTATTTGCAAAATCCTTTGTGATTTTCATATATAGATATTTTTTTTAAATCATTTGACAAACACAATATTAAAATGCATAATGTGGAAGTGACCATTTCTAAAACAGCTAACTTCAAAAATAAAAAAAAAAGGAAAATCAAAGAAAAAATTCAATACGTATAAATATATTCATACAGTTTATTGTTTAAATTGTTACAGAAGGAAGAAGGAAGAATAAAATAAATTATAAATATATATATAGTAAATAAATAGTAGATCAAATGGTAATAAATTATGGTTAATGTTGTGGATTTTCTTCAGCTGAAACCCACATCTAAACAAATTTATAAATATGTTAATATGTTATCAATGATGATGCGATTATTTGGGGGGGCTTCTGGAAAGTACTTAGAGCTGCTAATATAGATCCATCATCTATCCATGTACTATATTTTCTTTCTTGTGGTGCATAAATCTTAATTTTAATATCTTTGACGGCCAATTTCCTCACCTCATTCAGCAATCTTGTACCAAAATCTTGTAAACAATAATAATAATATAATGATGGTAATGATGATGATGATGGTAATGATGATGATGATGATGATGGTAATGATGATGATGATGATAATGATGATAATGATAATGATAATGATAATGATAATGATAATGGTGATAATGGTGATAATGGTGATAATAGCAATAAGTAAAGTAAAACAAAATATATTACATATGTACATGCACACACATCTTAATAATAATTTACCCTTGTAAAGTGTTGATTCGCCAGATAACACAACATTTGCAAATAAAGATTTTCTTAAATCTAAATATACTCTATTAATTGAATCAACAATCAACTTGTGAACGCCTGCATACTCTTCTCCAATCAATTCCGGTTTGAATAAGATTTCTGGCGCTTTAAATCTTTCAGTTTTCAACTATTACAGTATTGTAATAAATTATTATAATATATAGCTTTAAAAGTTGGTTTATTAATTCCAAAAAAATTGTATACATTTATTTACCTTAACAACACTACCATCAGGTAATACATAATCACTAAATTCTCTATTGGTATCTTTTTCTTCTTTATTCGGATTTATTGCAACATAACAAGTCTTTTCTTTTATAGTACGTACAACTTCTTTTTCTGCAGTGGTATGGAAATTATAACCAGATCTATGAAGAAGCAATTGTAAATATTCTGTAACGTCATTATAAAAATAAAAAATTTTTTTTTTGAGAAAAGAAAAAGAAAGTCAGTCGCATAATGATAATTATAGCAACAATAAATAGTGTTGATAATGTTTTGATTGATAATGGTGCTAATATTATTAATAAATAGCAATGGTGTTGATAATATTAATATTATTAATAATAATACTTTACCGGCCTGCAATATCAATTCTGCGAATAGCATGAGGCAAAGAAAATTCTTCATACACTGGTACAGCATGAGTTACACCGGAATCAAGGACTATACCAGTTGTTCGACCTGAAGAATAACTAGCGTAAAATTTTTTTTTATAAACAAAAAATTTTTAACTTTTTTAAAAAAAATGGTAATCTCTCTCTCTCTACATTTATACTTACAGAGCTGGTGAATTGAACGTTCAAAAAACATTTGTGCAGCAGAATCTTATTGTTTCTTGAATTAAATGGAGCTTCAGTCAAAAGGACTGGATGCTAATAAACAGAAACCATTGTAATTAATTTCATGTGTTTGTTCACGTTATTATATTATAATAATAATAATAATAATAATAATAATAATAATAATAATAATAATAATAATAATAATAATAATAATAATAATAATATCCATACTTCTTCTGGAGCAGTTTTTAATTCTTCCTCATAAATATATTTCCATATAGATACGATTCCATGTTCAATCGGATACTTTATTTTGATAAGTCCTCGTAATTCTTGAGCTTTACGTTCAATAAAAACATTACCTTCTACAGCACCTGCCATAATAAGTACATGTTTTGGACGCCCAAGATTTTTTTTTTTAAACATTCAAATATTAAATGTTTTTTTAAAATACATACATCCATATAAATAAATAATGCATACTATGAGGGAATAAGACATTTCAGTTGAACGTCACCAGCGAAATCAGCTTTAATCACCCCAGAGCCCTTAAGAGGAATAATAAAATGAAATGAGAGAATTATTCTACCATTACTTGTATGATATACATCTCTTTTATGTACATACATTATCGATCACAACAGGTTGATTAGTCAAAACGTCCTCGTATTCCATATTTGCACGATTTTTTTTGTTTCAATGTAATACACACAATTAGGAGATCTATAAAGTTTGAACTTGCGGAAAATAAGGGATGCTAGAAAAGCACAGGGGACAGGGATCTGCAAAGAAATTTTAATAAAATAAAAAATAAAGATAATGATTTATACACAATAATTTATTTTTTTATATTTTTTCTAATTCTACTACTACAATGAACTATAGAGGTGTCAATTTTAGGTCTAAAGTGAAATATAATATTTTGTTAATATTATTCATGTAATAAAATAGTTGCGAATTAATTAACTACCTTTTATATTCTTTATTAGATGAATCAGGTTCAGGCTCCTTTTGAATTGTTTCACCATCTTCAACTTCATTGTTAGTATTGTAATATTGATGACCTTTATCCCAAAAATATTCAATTACTAGAAAAAATGCATGATATATTAAATCATTTGATAAGTGACAGGAAGGCATCAAATTTTTTTTTATAGAAATTTTACCCACACTCTATTCCTGAAAGGGTTTCTTCATTGGGATTTTTTATATTATATTTGTTTAATTTTTCCAGGAAAGTTTCTGCAAATAAAATGTTATTTGTTTATTAATTATTTTATTGATTATTTTATTAATTAATTGATCATTCTAATACTAACTTGCTTGGTTATTAGAATAAATAGAGTGACTATTAGAATCCTTTAATCTATAAGAAACCAATACAGTTTATGGTTTATTTCCTGATAAAGAAGTCAAACCTTTCGATTCTAATACTGCCATTCCTTCATTTAAGTCATCATATTTATAAACACCACTTTGATCATTAAAGCTTCAAATTACTTTGCTGTAGAAATGCTGCCCACTTGATGACAGTGTTGTCAAAATTGCCAGTCCAATCATTTTATTGGACTCTGGACCATTTGGACCGGTCCAGTCCAATAAGTCCAGTCCAATTGGCGCAGTAAAAAAAGTGGCTTAGTTGTACATTGGACCAGTCCAATTGGTATTGGACTGGACTGGACTTATTGGACTGGACTAGACTTTATATGGACTTTGTCATACAAAGATATAAAAATTCTCA